ATAAAATAAGGTAAGTAACAATGAATAGACACAAAACCAATCAACTGGACAATGTCAAGGTTGAAATTACCTTTTAGATGGCCATCATAGAAAGCATCTCCCTATAACTCTATAATTTATCAATGCTAAGATTAGTCACAGGTAACATGTTCCGCTACTATAAAAGTAGGGACAGACTGCCTGCAGGAAGAATCTTCAGACAGCTAAAGCTAATGTGGGGGTCTCTGTGCACTTTACTGGATGCTGTGGCAGACCCTCTAAAATGTGTGCAAGATGCAATGCGGTGGCTGGAACATCCTCTTGAAAGAAAATGCCGACTTCCCTGAGCCATGTGAAAAGGATGTGGTGCTGTGCCAAGGGAGCATCCAGGTCAGCTACTTCTAGCCACTTCATTTAGGAGAATTACTCCTGCACAAGCCATGCTCTGCCCACCCCCCCTTGCACACCACTCTGAGAGCTTTTTGCTCAAAGAACAGTATACAAAAGTTTTAAAAAAACAAACAAGGAGCACTGATGCACCTGAAGTGCCTAATTCCATTGCAGATAAGCTCAGGGGTGGGGGACATGTCAGTGGAGCATTCACAATAGGAACAGGAACAACAGGTGCCAACATCTTGTATCTGAGAGCTCTTACTGCCAGTGAAGATGATCCTTTTGCTTCTGATGAGTCAACTTTTTCAGCTATTACCAATTTAAAACAAACAAAGCCATGTTAATGCAGCAAGATTCTAAGCTGTTGCCCAGGAGAATCACAAGGAAAGGGTTAAGAAATAATGGCAGCATACCCCCATGTGGTGCACTTAGGACCGGGGAAAAAGAGGAATGCTTTCAGACTATGTCTGGCATGGTCTGTATTGAGAATTGCTAAAGACCTTTAAGAGTGTATTTGTCTTGAGTCCAGCATTCCTGAAGTCCAGCAGTAGTAAGAAAACTGGTGATGTTGCGAGCATGTGCCACTTTTTGGCCACTGCAAAAGTCTTAGGAAAATCCTGGATATTCACAGAGAAAAAGGGAGGAATGTTCACCAAGAACTCATGAAAGAAACGCCAGTTTCTTTGCCCACCTGCAGTCAGGGTCTTGGATCATTCAACAAGCCAAGGTAAACCCAAATATGGCTCAGCACGGCTTCTCTGTCCCAGTAATCTCCCTAAAGATGCAGCACGTGCAGCCCTGTGGCCTAGTTCTCAATAAACAGGGCGAGGCAACTCTGTCTCTGCACCATCCAAGTTTATGCTGCAGGTTGAAGCTCAGATGACTGGATGCTCAAATAACCAGTTCTCTGCACACTAAAAACTATTACATCAGGGAAAGGTTTTAAGTCCACATTCTACCAGCAAGCCAAGGGGATGGTCAGGAGCAGAGCAATGCAGCTCCCCTGGTGGCCTGACAAGGAAGACAGCTTGGGCCACTTGACAAGTACTTGCAGGAATGTTATCAGGTGTGAGGGCACTTCCAGGATTAGGACCAGAGCAATGGAGCAGACTCGCTGGGAACCACAGGAGGATCCAGGAATGGCTTCTCAGTCCCACCCAGGTTCGCATTCCTGATCTGACGGCTGCCTCCCACTCTGCCATGTCTTTACTCCTGCCTCTTCCTGAATCCTCCTTTACCTCTGAACACACCACATCTCATTGGCATTAGACCCTCTCTTCACCCTGACTCTGCCTTCAGCCCTGGTCTTGGGGTTTCACCTGCCACCTACATCCTGGAGCTGACAGGAATTTAAGTTTTCTGTTTTATTCATCTATTTATGTCACTGATTCATTTTATTTCTATGCCACTGCATAGCCAAGGTACTCTGGGTGGTTAAAAACTCCTCCTAAGGCAGGACCATAATACAATAAAACCCCATAACCATTTTCTAAAATATAAAATTTAAAAGTAATTTTAAAACAAAATGTAAAAAACTAATTTGATGGAGAAAACAGCATTTGACACAAAATGTACCAGGTACAAAATATACATTTGACATGGGTGACTCCAACAAGCTATTAAACATCCTCTAATATCAACCTAGACGGATAGCTTAATCTGAAGCTGAAAGGCTAACAAAGTTGGTGCTGGCAAATCTCAGTGGGGAGGTCATTCCACAGTTGTGGGGCCACCACTGAGAAGCTGAGCCCTTTGTTATCATCTTCTAAGCCTCCCTCAGGGATGGCACCTGAAGAAAGGCCTCATATATTGTTTGTAGTGGCCAGAGATTATTATGGTTTGAGAAAGTGTTCTGTTAAGTACTGCAGTGCCACGCTGTAAGCAGGACAGAACTGCTCTTATAATTTCAGACTTTCTAGTCCTGCTTACCAGCCTGGCTGCCATGTTTTGCACAAGCTGTAGCTTCTACACAGGCTTCAAGGGCAGACTCACATAGAGGGTGTTGCAGCAATCTAATTTAGAGTATACCAGAGCAGCTGTTACTGAAACAGGGGTGCTTCTGGACCACCATCCAAACCTGGTAGAAGGCACTTGGTGCCACTGAAACCACCTGAGCCTCAAGTGACAGAGAAGGCTCAAGGAAGACCCCCAAGCAATGAACCTGCTCCTTCAAGGGGAGTGAAATCCCACCCAGAACAGGTTGAGTACCCTCCGTTTGGCCAGAGGAACCACCTATCTCATCTGGACTGAGCTTCACCTTGATGGGGATGAAAAGGAAAAACAGGGTTGCATGGCATCAGCATACTGATGGTAACACATCCTAAATTTCAGATGAGAGGTTTCACATAGCATGGGGGACAAACCAACTCCTGAAAAACCCCATGAGGATGAGCAATATTCCTTGAGCTCCACCTTCTGGAGCTGGCCCTCCAAGCAGGAGTAAAGCCGCTGCAATGCAAACTCACACACACATTTTCTAGAGGCAACTAAGAGGAAGGACCAGACTGGATCGTTTGAAGGCTGGTCAGAGAAAACCCACACAGCGTTCAGCTATAAGGAAGCCATTGCAAGACTGTTGGTTCACATGCAGGGAGAGCAAGTGAATTCAATGGGCTGGGAGAACCATTTGTATTAAAATGATTTAGAATAAGTGGGGCAAGAGCACACAGAACTTAAAAATAGAATACAATCCTTTAACAGAACAATCCTATACACATTTAGGCAGAAAAAGGCCTAAAACTTCCAGCACACCCCAGTCAGCATAGCTACTCCAAAAAAGTAACCATTGTCAAGCAATCTCAATTCCTGCTGGCCTATCGAGTCCAAGGTGGCAGAACAGGAATTCATCCAGAAGTTTCATCATGCAAACCAAGGCTTAGAAAGAGACGATGGGGTGATTTCATTATAAAGACTATGTGAGTAAGCAAACATTTTCTCACTGGCATCTTTTGCTGACTCTCCATGAATAAAACTCGAGCATAATCATTGCCTTCTGCTGCCTGCTTCCAGTGTTGCACTTCTAATATCTGAAAAGGTTGGTTGTAACCTATGAATGTATATTCTGCACTAAAGTCTCAATTTAAACCACCTTCCACTCAGAAGTATCATACTCTCTCTGTTCTGGAAACGCAGTCCTGCCCATAAGTACTGAAGGAATTCAGGTTCCAATTTGGGATTAAGAACTTGACCTTTAAAAGGGAGACTTTAGAAAGCTCTGTAATGAAAGTTTTGTTCTAGATGGGGAATCCAAGTATTTCCGAGTGACAGCAGTGCCCCCTAGTGGCTGTTTGTCACTAAAGAAGCCAACTCTGTTATTTGAATGTTCCGTATTTTTCACCAATAGGCTACATGCCTGAGACTAATAATCTAAAATAATAATAAAGCTAGCTACTTTAGCATGATTGCTTTCCCTGGCTAAGGTCAACATAATTTTTCCCCTTTTCTTTTTTTGGTACTGTACTTAACAGATTGTCCAGGGCTAATTCAACAAAGAAAGCAGCACAAATGCATTTAATCCTCTTTCCCATGGCATATATAGGGATAAACGTCCCCTTGTAGAGATTTACTCTGTGGAGAGAAAAAAGTACAGGCACCTTCAGCATCTCAGTATTGCCTACCACCCCCAAAAAGGAGAAAGCAGCTTGAGGGAGCAGTATAAAACAGGAAAATGGTTCAGAGGAAGAGGCAAATGCCCTGCCTTGTCTACCTCTGCCCCAAACAAGTTAGCAGCTGCCCAATCCCCACTGCTGTGGATGCATTCAACTCAAAGTAAATCATGCATGGCTCAGTGTCACTCCAGTTTGTCACTGACAACAAATCTGCCAGTCTCTCAGCAAAGCTGGCTCAAGACTCCTAAGAAAAGTGGGGGCAGCTCATGCCAAAGCACAGTTTGAACTTTAGCTTTGGCAACTGTTGAATTTTAATCTAGGTCAGCCATGGCCCCCTTACGTAACCTTGGAATCTGGCACCCCTAGGCCTTTCCTTGTGTTAGGGACGCAGCCTCAGGAACTAAGGAATATGCATGCCCACAAGAGGACTACAGAATACTGAACAAAGGAGCTTGGAATGGTCTCAGATTCAAAATCCAACATCACCCTTTTATTATCATTGAAAATAACAGCTTTCATCTTCAACTAGGTTTTAATGATATGTGGAAATTTGCATCTACATAGCTCGTTTCTGCTATACCTGAGAACCAAGAAGTGGTTGACCACAGGACTTCCATACCCACAGATTTTACTGCTACTCTTACATTATAGTCTGTCCAGCTGCTCTCATGGGCAAACTCCCCTCCCCTCCCACTTCCCACATTTTTAATAGCCATCTCCATAACAGAAGGCAGATAGAAGACAAAGCTGAACTTAACATTTTAAGTTAGGCACATTTTTAGACAACCCACACAGAGTAACAAAACAAAGCAACAGGAAACATAGGCAAGATTTCCTACTTGCTTATATTTATTGCTAAAAGAACCCTGAGTTTTCAAGTTGCTACATATAAGATAAAATTATATATTTTTGAGCACAGAGCATCTCTTGAACAGAATATTTTAACATCTCTGATTGTGCGTGTGTGCATGAGCACCTTTAAGCACAGACATCACCCCCTTTCAAGACTAGATCTTTTACCTAAAGTTGCAGAAGATCTTCTCTCCCCAGAAGGCTGTGATTTTTTGTAAGCTACAGGTGAGGATCTTTGTGAGTGGGACCTCAATGAATGTTGGGGACTTGACCAATTTGCATTCACTGTCTGTTGGTCACCCTGTCCAGTCTCTGTTCTCTCTGCAGAGGATGCAATTCGGCTATCATCTAAAAAGAACAAACAGTCTGATTAAGATTCAGAAATGTGAACTGAAAAATATATACAATTTTCTATTATTCTCAAATAAATAATTTAGTTTTGAATTTGTTCACATACCAAGAGGTAGATTTAAAATGGAAATGAGGTAAAGAGTCCATGGACAAACTGACTTTCTTGGAATACTTGTGCATCACTTTGGGTTAAATAAATGCAAATAATGTTATGGTTTGCATGTAATGTCCAAGCAGGCACACTGCTTGCACTGCACCCACCTCCTCCCCTTCCCTGAACAAGCCATGCTTGAGTCTCTCATGGGCTATGCAACATAAAAATTTGGACAATGGTTGACCCAACAACAAACTATGGTTTGCACATCATGTTGCACAACTTATGAAGAAGCTGATCAATATTTGTGTGCTCACGTAGAAGAGCCCCATCAAACTGATAAGGGGACTGATAAGGCCGCGCTCAGCCACTGCAAGCCCTTTTGGCTCTGGCCTCTTGGCAGAGCAGCAGAGGCACAGGCTGGGAGAGAGGGCTGAGTGGCCAGGGGACTGGCGAAAGCAAGGCAGGAGCTGGGCAGGGGAGCAGAGGGCCAGGAGCAGCGGAGAGGGAGGGGGCGGGGCCAGAGAGGCTAGAGCAGCCAGGAGGAAGCCGACAGGTGGGGCCACCGGCCTGAGGGACTGATAAAGCTGCGCTCAGTCACTGCCAGCCTTTTAGCTCTTGCCTTTTGGCGTCATCCCTTGTCTGCGTCCCTTAGCTGTGGCCCGGGCTGTCTGCGGTCTCCCTTCCCTGGGACGCAGAGGGTTGTTTTTTTTTTTTTTTTGGCTTTGTTTTTCCCCCCTCCTTCCTTCCTTCCTTCCTTCCTTCCTTCCTTCCTTCCTTCCTTCCTTCCTTTTGTTTTTTGGTGCTGTGCTGTGCTTTGTTTTTTCCTCCAATTTAAATTTAAGTTTATTTTATAAATTTAGGTTTATTTTATCCTTGTGTGTGAGTTTTTGTCTGGGGGAACTGGGCTAGTGAGAGGAACTGCAGGACAGACAAGGCAGGGGAACAAGGTAAGGTCTCGGAAGGGATCCCAATGGCAGACCAGGAGATGGCCTTGGCGGGAGTCACGGGTGTTGCTGTCCGCTGCGACAGCTGCGACATGTTCGCCCTTCTCCCCCAAGAGAGGCAGGGTTACACTTGCCCTCGGCGCAAGCTGGTGACCCTGTTAGAGGAGAAGTTGAGGTGCCTGAGAGCTGAGAGAGCTCTCCAGGCCCCCCGGGAGCAGCCCCCCTCTGGACAGAGAGTTGAGGGAGAGGCCACGGCAGGAGCAGCTGTGGAGACATGGAGGCATGTCACCCACAGGAGGAGGAGGCCAGCACAGCCTCCTCCTTCTCCTGGCACCAATCTGGAGCTGGGAAACAGGTTCTCTCCACTTGCGGAGGCTGGGGCTGATGAGGCCTCGGGGGACCAGCAGGACCCCCAGTCTGGGACGACAAGTGGCAAGGGGGCTGCTGCAGGCGAGGCGAGGGCCAGGGCACGGCCGCCCACCACCACCAGGAAGACACGGCGGCGGGTGATTGTTGCTGGGGACTCCCTGCTGAGGGGCACTGAGGCAATGGTGTGCCGCCCCAACCTGGAGACAAGAGAGGTTTGCTGCCTGCCGGGCACACGCATCCAGCATGGGAAGGACAGAGTGAAGCGTCTTGTTCGCTCCGGGGGTCACCAGCTGCTCCTGGTGATCCATGCGGGCACAAATGACGTGGCCATGCAGGGTTTAGTCGGGATCACCAGGGACTTCGAGGCCCTGGGGAAGAAACTCAAGGAGCTAAAGATCCAAGTGGCCTTCTTGTCAATTTTACCGGTTCAGGGATTTGGGCCAGGCAGGGACAGGAGGGTCGCCAGGGTGAACGACTGGCTTAGGGTGTGGTGCCAGAAGGAACGCTTCGGGTTCCTTGACAACGGCACTCGATTTCTTGCACTCGATGGACTTCTGGCAAGGGACGGGTTACACCTCACGAGGATGGGGAAAAGGTCCTTTGGAGCTGCTCTAGCGAGCTTCGTCCGGAAGACTTTAAACTGAGCTGGCGGGGGGGGGGGTCTGGCCCCCCAGAAACGTGTCTGCACTGGACAAGTGTGGGGGGAGGATCAGGGCTCTGGGAGCAGGGTTTTAGAGGTATTGCAGGGACTGACAGGACTCCTTCAGAGAGGGGCCAGGTATCAGGGAGGATGGGAGGAAGGAGGAGGCTGGGGGCTCCAAGGAAAGGAAGCGGTGGGAAGGAGTTGAGGTGCATGTACACCAATGCTAGGAGCATGGGTAATAAGCAGGAAGAGCTTGAAGCTCTCCAGGGAATAGGAGGGTATGACCTGGTGGGAATCACAGAAACTTGGTGGGATGAAAGGCAAGTCTGGAATGTGAACATAGAGGGGTATCACCTTTTTAGAAAGGACAGGAAGGGAAAGAGGAGTGGGGGAGTTGCTTTATACATCAGGGAAGGGATAGGATGCAGTGAGATAGAATGCAGCACAGATGGGGATTCGGTAGAGGCAGTCTGGGTGAAACTTAGGGGTTTTGACAGGGAAAGGGACCTTACAGTGGGGGTATGTTATCGCCCTCCAGGTCAACTTGAGACCTTGGATGATGTCCTGACAGGCCAGATTCTAAGGATATCTCGGGGGAGAGACACA